ATTGGCGACAACGATATCTAGTCGAGTATCGTTGTTGAAATCACCAACAGCTACAGACCATGGCCCAGAGCCAACTGAATATCTTGTTTGTTCTGCAAAAGAACCGTTCCCATATCCAACAAGGATACTCACATCATTGCTATTAACATTGGCGACAACGATATCTAGTCGAGTGTCATTGTTGAAATCGCCAACAGCTACAGAATATGGATACAAGCCAACTGAATATCTTGTTTCTTCTGCAAAAGAACCATTCCCATATCCAAGAAGGACACTCACATAATTTCTCAACCAATTCGCGACAACAATATCTAGTCGAGTGTCATTGTTGAAATCACCAACGGCTACAGAACTTAGATACAAGCCAACTGAACATCTTGTTTGGCTTGCAAAAGAACCATTTCCATATCCAAGAAGGACACTCACATCATTGCCGTCATTGGCGACAACAATATCTAGTCGAGTGTCATTGTTGAAATCACCAACAGCTACAGATTGTGGCTGAGGGCCAACTGAATATCTTGTTTGTTCTGAAAAAGAACCATTCCCATATCCAAGAAGGATACTCACGTCATTGCTATCCCGATTGGCGACAACGATATCTAGTCGAGTGTCATTGTTGAAATCACCAACAGCTACAGAATTTGGATACAAGCCAACTGAATATCTTGTTTCTTTTGCAAAAGAACCACGATTGTATGCAACAAAGATATCCACATTATCATTTCTGTCGTAAATGATAGCGATTTCTGATCGTTTATCATTATTAAAATCACCAGAAGCTACAGCTAACGGACGTGAATCGAAACTAATTCCTTCACTTGTTTGATTTGCAAATGTTCGGTTCCCATATCCAAGCATCATACCTACTTCCTTTGTACCATAATTGGCCACAGCGATGTCTACTACACTGTCACCATTGAAGTCGCCAATAGCAACCGAAGTCGGATGAGAATTTATGCCAGTGCTAAGAATCATTTGATTTTTGAAATTGCCATTTCCATATCCAAAAAGGATACCTATATTATTAGTGCCGTAATTAGCCAAGATGATATCCACATTAGTGTCATTATTCAAATCACCAATTACTACACATTGTAGGCTAGATCCATCACCAGATGCATAAGCCATTTCATATGCTATCGCTCCTCTGTTATATTGCAACAGAACACTCACATCATTGCTATCCTGATTGGCGACAACAATATCTAGTCGAGTATCGTTGTTGAAATCACCAACAGCTACAGATTGTGGATAAAAGCCAACTGAATATCTTGTTTCTTTTCCAAAGGAACCATTCTCATATCCAAGAAGGATACTCACATCATTGCTACCATTATTGGCGACAACGATATCTAGTCGAGTATCGTTGTTGAAATCACCAACAGCTACAGATTGTGGAGAAGAGCCAGTTGGATAGTTTGTTTGATTTGGGAAACCTGCATATTGACCAAGGAGAATATCTATGCTACCAGTATCATTGTTGACGATAACGATGTCTAATCGGTGGTCCTTGTTAAGATCACCTATGGCAACGGAAATCGAAGAATAAGATCCAGTTGAAAATATGATTGGATTTTCGAAATTGCCATTTCCATATCCAAGAAGTACACCTATATTTTCAATGCCGTTATTAGTAATGACGATGTCTAATCGATTATCTTCGTTGAAGTCTCCGACGCCAATCGCATATGGAGATATAGAATTATTGGAATATACAGCTTGATTAGTGAAAGTTGTATTGCCGTTGTTGATAAGTACATCTATTTGGTGAGTTCCAGAGTTCGCGATAGCTATGTCGAGAAAGTTGTGGGCATTGAAATGGCCAACGGCGATTGAGTACGGATGAGAACCAACGCCAGTTGAAAACGTG